CCCCAAAACCCCAAAACCCCAAAACCCCAGTATATTGAATAGGATTGAATAAATTAAATACCTACTCAAATGAAGTCGAGCAGTATTATTTCTGAGCATTCTTTGGTAATTAAAAGCTTTGAGATTTCCCATGGCAATTATCAGAACCTGAATAAGGAAACTCATCCAGAGGACATCGAGTTGACCAGGGCTGTGTTCACAGTCTTCAAAATTGCAATCCCAAGCAGCCTGACTCTTTATGTGGAGTACATGTGTCTTTTCTTAAATGTATTGTTCATTGGATTTGTCGATGACCCTATCCTTCTGGGTGGACTCGGTCTCGGAATCTTCTTAGTTACCCATCTAATGCTATCATGGGGAGTTGGGCTCTGTGGAGGTCTTGACACACTTGTGTCACAAGCTTTTGGACGGAACGAGCTGAAATTATGTGGTACATATCTCAATACTTCAAGGATAATTCTGTGTATCCTCTTTGTTCCGCAGTTCCTGGTCTTGTTTAACAGCAAGTACTTCCTTGTGGCTATTGGACAACCTGAAGAAACAGCAGAGATTGCACAGACTTATGCAAGAATCTCACTAATAGGTGAATTCTTTCATGTACAGTTTGAAGCAACAAGGAGGTTTCTGATGAATCAAGGAATCTTTACACCTGTGCTATACTGACTCGCTATCTCAACATTATCTCATATCGTTGGGTTATTCTTAGCAATATTTTACTTCGAGTCTGGAGTTGAAGGAGTAGCCACAGCAACTTTAATCTCAGCTACTCTAAGTTTCGTATTAGTTCAGGTCTATGTCAATTTTAATAAAGAAATAGTTTTGTCGGAGAAGTGGTTCTTTCAAGATATTGAGGCTGTCAGAATGATTCCTGAGTATCTCAAGTATGGACTTTCTACTACAGTAATGACTTGACTTGAGTGGTTAGGGTATGACATTCTCAATATATTTGCAGGCTTACTTGGACCGAAGAAACAGACTGCATTTGTAATAATGATGCAGGTTTGGTATATTTTAGCCTGGAATTCTTTTGGTATCACATATTCTTGCACAGGCTTGATTGGATCAGCTTTAGGAGAAAATAAGCCTAAGACAGCAAGAAAATACTCTTATGCCGCTTTGATAGTTGGATATTCTGAGAATATAGTGCTTCTAGTATTATACACTATCTTTAGAAGTGACATAATTTCATTGTTCACGACCGATGAGGAAATCAATGATTTGATCAATGGTTCGTTTGTTCTCTATCTTACTATGGTGTTTAATGATTTATCCGCCCAAGTTTGTGGAGGTATTGTCCGAGCAGTAGGTGCTCAGAATAAAGGGGCTATTATCCAAATCACATCTCTGTGGGTCATTGCAGTCCCATCTGCATTTCTGGTAGGAGTTTATTTCGAATATGGATTCAAAGGCTTATGGTACATCCCTCCTTTCGGAGTACTCTGAATCCACGCTGGCTATGTAGCCTTAGTCTTGTTAGCATCTTGGAAGAAAGTTGCAGCAGAGGCTTCAACAAAGCTATCTGCACTTAATTAAGTTCATAAATATCTTCAATCTCACAGATATAATAAGGGGTTTTGGGGTTTTGGGGTTTTGGGG